TAATAATAATAATAATAATAATAATAATAATAATAATAATAATAATAATAATAATAATAATAATAATAGTAATAATAATAATATTAATAATAACAATAACTAAATCATTAATTATAATTACGATTTAGATTCTTGATTTTCCGATTCACTTTTAGTTTGATGTGTAGCAACTGTAGCAGCAGAAGTTCTCATAGCCAACTTCGCATTTAATTCTTCAACTTCTTTCATAAGACGATTATTTTCGTCAATTCGCATCGCACCTAAAGTCAATTTGGCATTCAATTCCTCGAGTTCTTTTCGAAGAACAATATTTTCATCTTCAAGACGCGTTACTTTTTCTTCGAGATTAGCCACATAAGCTTTCTTTTTACGACGGCATTCTTTAGCAGCCACACGATTACGAAGTAATCTTCGTTGTCGACGTTCATCATTACTCATATTTCGTAGCTGTGTATTTCTTTTACTAGTGCCCGAATCTTGAATTATCTCACCAGCTTGCGGTGATGATGTTATTTGTTGTGGAGGTGGTTGTGATTGTAACTGTTGTTGTTGCTGCTGCTGCTGTTGTAATTGTTGTTGCTGCTGTTGCTCTTGAACTTGGGCGGCGGCGGCGGCGGCAAGAGCAGGATGATTCAAAAATTCTTCGACATTTGCATGAATTCCAGTTGTATTCGCTGAACCATTAGTTACAATAGCAGCAGCTTGACCATTGAGCAAAGGAGCTACTGCAATTGGAGAGGTTATTTGATTAGCTAAACTTGTGGCAGCGGATAAAACTTCAGCGAATTGCTGTTGATTGCTTAGAGCTTGTTGAGCAGCAGTTACTGAATTCACTGCTGCCCCCTCGACAATATGATTATTGGAATTAGTACTAGTAGTGGATACATTTGAGAGAAGAACCGCTGCATTAGCAGCAAGTGCATTTATATTCGAGTTTTTTCCATTATATGCTATTGTTGTTTTTTGGTTTACTGCTTCCGAAGAGTTTAATTCACCACCAACCCCACCAACTTCAGTTCCTCCTTTCTTTGTATCTTTTCGTTTAGCATCGCCTTGTCGAGCGCCGCCAGCAGGTAAGGCACGTTTTAAGCCGCTTCGTGTTGTCATTGTTGGTTCAGAGTCACTACCTTCGGTGGCTGAACTATCGTCGTCACTTTCTGTGACTGTAGACTTTTCGTCACCATCCATCACCTGAGTTTGGTGCGTCAAGAGTACGTCTTGGGTCATTTCGTTGTTTACTTAATTTAAGAAAACAAGCTTTACTTTCAATTTAATGGAATTTCTTTTCACTTATTAATTAATAATAAACCTTGATAAAAAAATTGGTTATTATTATATTAAGTCAAAAACTATTATAGAATTAAATGTTTAATTATTGAAAGTCGCAATTTTTTTTTTAAACGAGATAAACTTTCGTGTAGAAGAATAAAAGACAGTTTTTTTAATGAATAATAAAAAATCGCGTTTCGTCAACCTTTATTTTGTTGGACGACGTTGCTCTTTTTGTGACGACAAGGTGAGTGACGGCAGCAAAAAGGCGAAGAGATGACGCTGCTTACTGATTATATTTGTAGGGGGAGAGGGAAAATAGGGTTACACCCTTTTTTTGCATGACATCAGCCTTACGCATAATTGTACCAATCAGAATATTTTAAAATGCATCATTGTTGACAAATTTTGCTGATGCAATCAAACCGTGTCACCCTGAAAGTGGAATTTTACTATTTTCTCACGCTCCAATTTTACGCGAAAAACGCGAAGTTTTGCCTTCCCGTCTCACAATGTTTCGTTCTTTAACCTCAAAATCATTATCTAAAGTCCCTAAACACGGGATTAAGGTAAATTTCTGAACATTGTTAATGAACTGTGAAGATTTGTGAATTAAAAAATCAATCGATTTTTTTAAAGTATTATCAAGGACTATTTGCTTCAAATTTACGAAATGCTTCAAGTTATAATGCTCATGTAGCGGGCTTAACAGAAGAACAAAAGGAGGTATTTTAGCTTTTATTTCTAAAAAAAAAAAACTGCCTTAATCTCTCTCAGTAGAGCACTAAAGTTCGTTAAAGTTTCGTGAGGCCGTCGAAGTTTTCTGTAAAAAGGAATTAGTACCTCGTGCTGCCTCCATCGATAAAGAAAATGAGTTTCCTATGGTAAATATAATGCTCTATAAACGCAATTACAATAATAAATATATTCAAGTTTAATCTAGGATATGTGGAGGAAATTCGGTGGTATGGGTCTTTTGGGTATAACTGCCCCGGAAAAGTACGGTGGTTTGCAAAAAGGTTACTTCGAACATACTTTTATAATGGAAGAAATTTCACGCGCTTCTGGGTCAGTTGCTCTTGCTTATGGCGCACACTCGAATTTGTGTGTAAATCAAATTGTGCGAAATGGGAACGAGAAACAAAAAGACAAATACTTGCCAAAGGTTCATTTATTTTATTATGATCATTTTTTATTCTGGCATATTTTTAATATTGATCGAGATCTCTTTTACTTTTTTAGCTTATTTCAGGTGAACATGTGGGTGCGTTGGCAATGTCCGAACCAAATTCCGGCTCTGATGTTATTTCCATGCGTTGTCGCGCTGAAAATAAAGGTGATCATTATGTGCTTAATGGAAATAAGATGTGGATTACCAATGGGTCAGATGCAAATGTGTTGGTGGTGTATGCAAAGACAAACATGGATGCAGGGCCTAAAGGAATAACCGCATTTCTTGTTGAAAAGGTAAAAGAAATTGAATCTATTAAATAAAACCTTGAATTCTTCTGTTAGGATTGACCGAGTTTTTTTGTATTATTAAGGGATTCGAAGGATTTTCAACAGCACAAAAACTTGATAAATTGGGAATGCGAGGTTCAAATACATGTGAACTTGTATTTGAAAACTGCAAAGTTCCGGGTAATTAATTATCCATGGTAATTAAGTTGCTTCTGTGAAATATCTTTTTCTAATATTATAAAATCTTCAATTGATAGCCGAAAATGTGCTTGGATCTGAAGGGAGAGGTACATATGTTTTAATGAGTGGATTAGATTTAGAACGATTAGTTCTTTCCGGAGGGCCATTAGGGTAAGCTCACTATGCCTAATAATAACTTTATATTATTTCAAAATTATAGAAAGTTACATAATTTTAAATTAACAAGACTTATGCAAGCGTCGTTAGATGTTGTTTTACCATATGTGCACACTCGTAAACAATTTGACACGCCTATCGGTCATTTCCAGTTAATTCAAGGAAAGCTGGCTGATATGTACACAAAGTTAAACGCATCCAGAGCCTATGTTTATTCGGTGGCCCGTGCCTGTGATAATGGACATGTTTCGAATCGGGTATTTCATCAATAATTAAGGGAAGCGGTGCACTGTGTCCAGGACCCTGATCATTATCCCACATTGCATATGAAATTTATAATATGTCAAGTGATTTGTTTTTTTTTTTCAAAATTAGGATTGTGCTGGTGTCATACTTTACGCGGCGGAACGTGCTACAGAAGTGGCTTTAGATGCTATTCAGTGTTTGGGTGGTAACGGATATATTAATGATTGTAAGTATATTTATACAAATATTTTTTTTATTAAAGACTAAAATAAATTCATTTGTTCTTAAGATCCGACCGGACGTCTTTTAAGGGATGCCAAATTGTATCAAATTGGGGCTGGTACAAGTGAGATTAGGAGATTGATTATTGCTAGGTAAAAATTTTTAGACTTGCAATTATGCATTCCAAACTAATATTTCTAATTATTTTTTCATCCTCCAGAGAATTTAATAAAGAATATCAAAATGTTGAGTAGAATGTATAGAAACAATTAACTTATTTGATTTGATTAATGTTTAACGTATTTCGTTGTAATAAAGGTTCTTTTTAATTACAATGATCAAAAACTAAAATACATTGCTTCAAATAAAACGATTTAGCGTGACATAAAAGAATTATAAATATGTAACGGCATATGTAAAAAAGTGAAATTTTATATGCAAATATTCTCCGCTTTTAAGCTCGGAAAGTTAAAAATTTTATATATTATGTAATTAAAATGTGCAAATATACAAATTCTTTTCAAAGATTGAAAATGACAAATATTTTCATTCCTTTGATGGTGCTAACTCATCAATTTTATCCTCTATTTCCGCAAGTTTTGCCTTTTGTTTTAGAAGCTCTTCTTTTAAATGCTTTATTTTCTCGACTTCCTAAATCAAGATAAAGAAAGAAGAGATCAATTGCACGATCAAACCTCCTTAAATTCCAGAATGAAAGAAACCCAAATTCTATCTGATATATCAAAAATTACTACCTGAACACGAAAATACTGATCCTCAATAACTTTTTCCTTTTTACCGAACACAGTATCCCCATCACGAATGCTTCCCTCGCTTCGACCACTCCCAGAACTCATTAGTTTTGTTGCGGTAGTAGTTAGTAACGGAAGGTTGTTGACTAGCGAGCGAGTATGGAAGAGAGTACTGCTTTTATTGGAAACAAGGTGCAAGAATCTAACCGGAGTAAGTTGTTGCATGATTGTTAATTATTAGAAATTTGGACAAGTGCATATCGATATGATGATCCGTTTTTAAATTCTTACCGAATATAACGTGACCTCTAACATCATGAATTACATATTTCGGACCGTATAATAAAAACGATCGTCAATCCGTCGGTTTTTTCAATCTGTACATGATCCACACTTATTTTTTGCTTTCTAAAGTATGTTGAGACAGGAGTAATTGTTGTTTTCGGTCGCGTTATTTTTTTGCTACGGTTACAAGTTAAATATTGTAGCACCCAAAGCAAGTATAAGTTTGTAGTTGAAATATTTCTTTAGGTTAATATTGCTTCGCGTTATTTTTGTTTTACGCGCGTTTCAAATTTAGGCGTCAACGATTGTGGCTGAGTGATCAGAATTTCGGTCCACGAGAACTAATTTCAATCTTGAGAATTGAGAATGTAATTTTTATTGGCTGGAACGAAAGTTTAAATACATAGTCACGGAATAAATTATTTAATCATCATCATCATCATCATCAACAATAAAATTAATCATCTTCATCATTATCAGAAACAATTTCTTCAGTTTCCTCCACAACTTCTTCAATCCATTCTTCGATAACTTCCACATTTTCAGTATCACGTATCGAAACAGGTGGTAGTCCTGCTGCTTGTCTTTCTTCGATCAACTCCTTTTCTACACGTTTGCGCCATGCATTCCATTCATCCACAAGACGACGACGATGTGCAAGTAATTCTTTAGATACTGAAGATTTTTCGCGTGCATCTTCCTCATCAAATACTTTGGAATATTCGCGCAGATTCTTTTTTATTTTCTTCATGCTCTCTTGTGTTAATAGTGTTTTCGGTCGAGGGCGCCAAACCAGTTGTTTGAATTTATCCAAGAGATGCTTTTGAAGTTGATTACCTTTGAAATCCCATAAAGTGTACCCATTTTCCATCTAAAGAATAATCATTGTTGCATTTTAATTTGCATCATGAATATTCTATTAACTACATTATCTAGGTTGTAGATACTCACCGAATGCCTCCACATACTAGCACTTGTAATAACATATCTACCAGTAGGATCCCACTCGATATCAGTTACTCCAAAGTGTTCTTGTGTGCTCATAAGCTGAAGTGATGCCCCGGGATCTAATTTAGCTTGTTCTTTTTGTTCACTTCCACCTTCGAAATCCAGGTCATAAAACTCTAAATCGTAATTGGATGTAGAGCGTAATGTTGCTAGTATCACATGACGTCCCCGAGGAGACCAGAAAATTGAATTTGCAGTTTTCTTCTCGAGTGTTTCTATATTCACAAAATCAATTAGATAATTTTTAAAAATTTGACATCACACAAATTGTCGAAATATACTCACTTATAAGTTTGAAACTAGCATTCTCTGCTCCTTTTCCAGCTTTTGCCTTCTCCAAGTAATAGAAGGATATACTTGTTCTTAAAGTAGCACCGCCAGCTGCAGGTTGTCCGAAACTGGGATCGTTAGTAGTCACTATAGCAAATCGCTCCCCTTTCGGTTCCCATGCAAAAGCAATAACTGTGTCTAATGTAGCAAAAGGACAATATTGCTATTAGTCTAAATTAAAAAACAGTATGGCAACATTAAAGAAAATACCTTTAATTTCAATGACTTCTACAGGAATATCTTTTTCTCGGACTCGAAATATTTCAAGATTGGCAAAAGTCGATTTTTTTGTTTTTGTATGACGATCGACTTTGACACATAAGAAATCACCGTTTGATTGCCAATGCATCTTACACTGGGGAAAATACCATAAGTTAAAATTGCATGATATATTAACTTCCAACCAGATAACAATGTAATAAATTAAACGCATACATCCGAGACGCTAAACAAATTTTTAGTCCTTAAAATCTCCTTTGAAGGAATTTGCATTAACGTGACACGAGCTGGTTGATTACCGATTTCCGGAGTCCAGAAACTAAGGAGGTCCTCGCGTACCTTTTTATCGTTCTGTTTATCACGGTCTTTATCCGAGGAAGGAGCCCATTCGAAATCAACTACTCCTTCAATTTTTATACTCTTTTTCCCAACAAGACCCATTCCTGGTGTTTCATAGACAGAAATTTGTTGATTAGGGAAAACACGAGCGAAATATTTGTCGGTTGCTGACCATTTAAACATTGGCCATGTGATCTTGTTAGGAACACCGTCTGGCGAGCTTGAAGAAGGAAATGATCGAAGAAGTGTCCCTGAATGTACATCCCAAATTATCGTTTGATTGCCTTCGTCCTCAGACCCAAATGGTGCACCAGCGCCTCCATTCTGACCAAGGGTGATTGGTTCATTACTCCATGTTACCAAATAACGCTCATTTGGCGAAAAATCGATTAATTTAACTCCAGGATGAACAAAACGTATAATCTTATTCCAGCTTGCACCACCCCATAATACAATACCCTGTCGATGAAATGTAGAAAGATACGTGCCTAAAGGAGACCATTGAACATATGTTTCTGTCCAATTCTAATAAAAGATGTGAAGTTTAATTTCTGAATTTTTTAACAAACACAAAAAATTAAAACTCACATTTCTTTTGTGAACTTCTTCTGGAAGTTCAGTTTTTCTATTCCAATAAACATAAACATCATCGCCACGATAAAGAACAAATTGATCACGAGCTTGGGAATCAGTGAGCCAGCTTCTTAAATGCTCCTATAACAAATATATATATAAACAATTGAGAAAATAAGTTAATAAACAATATAAACAAAATTATTTCAAATCGAAAATTACTTTTTCCACAAATTTTTCCTCTTCAGGCTCAACATATATGTCTTGAATTTGAGAATATTTTTCAATATCAGTGAATCTATTAACAGCAAGAACATGGTTTTTATCCATAGGATAATTATCAAGCTGCTTTACAGCTAAATTGGCTTGCTCGGGCGTTTCGAATTCAATAAAAAGGTATCTAATTGGAAAAATAAAGTATCAAGATCAATTAAGGCATTCTCAAAACATCAAATTCTGGAGAACTTTTCCTCGGAAGGAGTGTACGTGACTAAAGTCAAGAGCAAACAACTGTAACATGAAATTTACCCCTTAGAAGTTGTTTTTTCCGTTTCAGGATCCACTTCCATTGGCATATTAAGTCCACCTTCTTTAATGTCGCCAGCTTGCTTGAAAATTTTAGTGATAAATTTGAAAAGTTTATCTTTTTTACTTTCGTCCACTATGGGTACATTATCAACGACTATGATTGTGTCAAAGCCTTCTTCAAATGGAACTTGATATTTCTCTTCTATATCAGTAAAATCTAGTTCTTCCTCAGTCTCAGGTAACTTGGTAATGTCAAATCCTGGCATCTTGAATGAGGTCACTTATAGCAGTGATTAAATCAAGACTGGCAGCCTAACAAAAAAAAAGCTTTGTGAATTCGTTTTCCGCAGTAAAGACACTTTCTCGTGATATTCACGTGGGAAGTTTCTCATTCACCCAATAAGATTCGTTGATTTTGTATTGGGTATGATTATGATATTTAAGCAACATTTATGATTGTTTCTTTTCTCATTCCAATTCAAATCAACGACAATCATCAACAAAAATTGTCTGAAAACAAAGAATATGACCAGGCCAAAAACTCAAACTAATCATACAACCAACATGTCGCAAGCAAGTTCTTCCTCTTCTAGCTCGTCAAACTCGTCAAACGGGTCTCCGAATAATCTATCAAATACTGTTCAGTCACAATTGTTTAGCTTCCAGGACAATGAAAAAGTGTTATGTTATCACGGTCCTATGTTATATGCCGCTACTGTATGTGTTTTTGTGTTGTTTCTTTGCTAAACTCTGAAATTCTGGCGTCTGGTCATCTTGAAGACCAGGAAATTTGACTTTAGATATTGACGAAAAATAACTGCGTTTCTAACGTTATGTTACACAACGTATATTTACTAGGTAAAGGAGGTAAATTCTCAGTATGTGGACGCTTCTGGTGAAGCAGGACTTTATTACAAAATTCATTATCATGGATGGAATTCGAGGTATGTATTCGATATAAAACATTTACTTTTTAATCTAATTTTTATATTAAAATAAGATTTTTACAGATCGGACGAATGGGTCCCTCAAAATCGAATTTTAAAAATGAACGAAGAAAATATGATTTTGCAGAATACTCTCCAGGAAGAGTTAAAAAATCGACCTTCTGCTGTTGCTGCACGAGCAAATGCCGCTGCCAATCAACAGGAATCTAATAATATAGTCAACACAGCAGTACCTATGGAAGTGGATGAAGTGGAGAACTCAAATAAAGATTCATCATTAGAAAATGACACTTCCAATACAAAACTTAATTCGCCACCCGTTGCTACGGCAACTAATAATAATAAGAATGCTACAGATGAAAATAACCACCAGAGCACAAATAACAAAGTAAATAAAGACGCTCGACACAAAACAAATGGAACACATACAGAAACTACAACAACGAATTTTACTGCTACTGATAATGATAATAATAATGATAATAATAATAATGATAATAATAATAATAATAATAATAATAATAATAATAATAATAATAATAATAATAATAATAATAATA